TAGTAACTTAAAACAGCAAATATTTATTATGTTACAGTTTTGATGGGTCAGGAACCTGGAGTGACTGACCTTGATAGTTATAACTTAAAGTTGCTTACGAGACTAACTCAGGTTGCAAACCTCTGAGGCTTGACTAAGGCTGGAAGATCTGCTTCTAAGCATACTTACTTTGCTGTAGCCCAGAGGCATTAGTTGCTTTGCCATGTGGGCCTGCACAACATGAGCTAGACAACCAAAAGAGTGAGAGAGAACAAAAGAACAAAATGGATGCTCAAGTGTCTCTTATAACCTCATTTTGGAAGTGGCATCTACCGCTTCTGCCAAATTCTTTGGGTCACATAGTGGAAGAGGAAGTGCCCAAAAGGTAAGGCCATGATGTGGATGAATATTCTGCTAGCCATGACAGAAGCAAAGACTACAAGTATAATCAATGAAAATCCAGTAGTGGGCTTTGCTTCCTGGAGTTGACAGTATGGGAGGGCACTACATGAAAGTATGAATACAAGGAAGCAGGAAACTTTTGGGACCATCAAAGTGGGTGGCACATTTCTGCAGGTCTGTTTGACAGTCATCAAAATCCTTACAAAAATGTATATTCCTTGTGACTCAGAAATTTCACTTATAGCAACTACCCCAAGAAATTAATCAATAGTATGCACCAAAATATATCTTTAAGGATGTCCATTATGGTACTATTTAGATTGGTGAATATTGAAAACAGGTTAAGAAATCAACAATGAGATTGTATGAATATATTGTGGCATGTCTTTATTATGAATACCAAATACTGGCATCACAAATCATGGAGAATAATTTATGATGATGAAGAAAAATCATAATGTTGTTAATTGAAAAAATCAGGTAAGAAAACAATATTTTACTACATTTGTACCAAAGAAATATGTATAGAGACAAAACTGGAAGTTTATATGTGAAATGGGTGGTGGAAAGGTGGATAATTATTTTCCTTGTTTTTAACTATATTTTCTAAGTTTTCTATAACAAGCATGTATAATAAGAAAAAAAAAAGACCCTCTTCAAAAACATGCCTGATTATTGTATTGACCAAGAGTAGGTAGAGTATCTGGAGTTTAAACTTCCATGTGAAATTCTGCTGACTTACCTGCCATACTTCCTTTGAAAACATAAGCACTTTTGTGGAGCCCCAATGTTAGATGAAACATAGCCTTTCTAACAGACATGAAGGAAGCACCTTGAGAGTAATGGAGATGATCCCCCAGCCCTATTGTGGTGGGAAAAAAATCTCATAAATGGAGAGGGTTCTATTTAACAACCATGGAGCTACAGTTGCATCCTGAGAGTGAATCTGGTACATGTGAAATTCCAAGCATGTTCTTACTCAATCTTCAGTGGGAAAACTTCTCTGTTATGAAAGTTGAACTTACCCAAGGTCACAAAGCCAGTAAATAGCATAACTGGAATTTAAAGCCAAGATTGGACTGTAGGTTGTTAATCAGTATGTACTATTTGAAGTTTTTGAAATGGGAATTATGTGATTAAAGATGTGCTTTGTTAAAATTTATCTTCTGGTGGTAAAAAATGGGTTAGAATGTGAAGAATGCATTATCAGCCAAAGAACTCATGGACTTGGAAAATAATGAGGGCTTAAGACATTAGAGGTCAGTTTAGGGTGATGCACTGGTGAAGCTGAAGGGAGGAAAAGTTGAAAGATTAGGCTATTGACTTCCTCGAAGAAAATATTTGAGTTTCAGATTTTGGAGGAAGTAGTTGTCTGTACTGGTGGTCTGATGACTGAACCCTGTGGTTGCCTCATTGGAAGTCAGAATCACCTGGTCTTAGAGTAGATAACACTGACGAACTATGGTATTAAAGTATTACACTAGATATTACCTGGAAAAGGAATGACTCCAAAGGGGAAGTTTCAGGATAATTTGTAGATGTCCTAAAATGCATGATGGGAAGATGAATAATAGCTCTGGTCACTTTGTGTTGTTTATATATGTCTGCGCCTTGGACAAACTTACAACTCCAGGAAGCAAAGCCTGTTAGTGCATTTTTGTTGTACTTTTGGTCTTTGCTCCTTTAATGTCTAGCAGAATGTTCAGCCACATCATGGCCCTACCTTTGGGGCACTTCCTCTTCCATTTCATTGGATATATTATATATTGAAATTTCCCATATTCCAGGTACATCTTCTTTCTAGTATTAGGGCAAATACCTCAGAAATAAGCTTACATAAAATGTCTTTACTTCTATTAGAGGATGTGAAGCATGAAACTACCATAACAATATATGGGATTTACATTTGTCGGAATTTAAGTCATGCTGCTGTTACAGTCTTGGAATGTGTCTACTGTTTGTTTTGCTCTTTATGAGTCAATTCTTTTAATATTCTGATATTGTGGAACATATTCGATATTATGTTTTCTCTCATATTTTAAACGTAATGGTCTTTTGTTGCTGAATTTGGGTTTTGATGATTTTAGTGGAACTGATATGGAATAATCTACTTCTTCATTACCCATCACATTCTTTTCAGTTGAATTGTCTTGAATGACAGTAAGAACTGATGTAAGAAAACAAAAAGTAACATAATGCCATAAAGATGACACAAAATTGAAGGCAAAATGAAAATCCTAATTTTTTTTAGATTAAACTTTGTTTTGTTAATATTTTGGATTAACTTAGTGATTCAAAAATCTCTTTCCAAAATTATCTGAATAGTATATGCAATAATATCACTATATCTAATTCCTATTTAAGTATTAATTTTTATAAAAGTAATATGCTATAAAAATTAATATTAGAACAAACACATTAATGAGAAGTAAATTCTCTTCTCAAACTCTATTCCCATTTCTCAGAGTTTTTCACTAGCAGCATGCTTTTTGTATATTCTCAAAAATTATTATGCATATATTTGCATGTGTAGAACAGTTCTCATTTAAATAATAAAAGGGATGCGTGTTAGTTTTGAAAAAATCTCCAGTAATTCAAAACTGAATAAAATAAGCATTGGTACGGAAATTTTTGTGTGTATGTATGTTTTCATTTCTCATAGGTATATAACTAGAAGTGGAATTGCTAGGTCATATGAAAACTCCACATTTAACATTTTGAGGAATAGCAAGGCTTTCAACCCTTCACATTCTTGCCAACTCTTGTTATTCTCTTTAATTTTGATTTTGTTACTCTTTGTCTTCCTGGTGATTCTTACACTTAAGTAGTACGCATTTAAGGTCGGGAAGTGCCTCAAATTTTAAACATGCATATTTACATTACATCTTCTAACAAAGTTAAACGTTATTCAGTATCTATTTTTCTAGAACAATATAAGGACCTTAGCGCCTTTATCTACTATACCCTCCCTCATATTTTTTGTTTTTTAGAATTTTGGCTCTTTAAAAAGTGCAGTAAGGAGTTTATATTATAGTTGAAGCAGCATATTTAGGCCTGAGAGACTATTAATCAAGCGGGATGACAGTGAAGTATGTTGCTTAACTTTCCTGTGCCTGCTTCCTTACCTTTAAAATGGGCACAATAATAGTACCCACTTCAAAGTGCTGTTGCAAGGTTTAAAATGCAAATTTATTGTTATATGGGAAATTACTTCCACACAAGGGTGGCCTCCAAGTGTATTACTTGATAAGCTAGGCCACAGCCCATGGTACAGAAAAGTGCACAGAAGAAATTAAAATATTCACATCATGACTTATTAAATCAATTTAAAACACAAAACAAAATGTAAAGAAAGAGAGATGGGCCACATTAATGTAATTGAAATATTACACAAGTGGGTTGAAGGGTCATATTAGCCCGAATCTCATCTGCAGTATTTACATATCCCTGCTTTATGCGACATTACTCTTTCCTGCTGCTGATGTACTTATAAGAACCAGAATGAAAACTTGACCAGAGGGGCCCAACAAATAAAAGATGCCTGGGACAGTGACAGACACTTGTTCCATGAGAGCTGTGTGTGAGTCACTTGACCCATAGCTGTACTCCTTAGTTAGCCTGATGAGCAGTGATGGATTTTATCTGGCAGAAGACCCCAAGTGAGAGTCAGCAATGGGTGGCCAATTAAAGACCTCATGATTATCGTGCACCTCATGTGTTCCATTTGTATTTAGTATTTCATAAGTAGTTTTTGCTTTGTTTATTAGTTAATCATGAATACTAAATGTCTATTTTATCTTCCTTTCTTTCTTTTTTTTCCTTTTTTGAGATGGAGTCTTTCTCTGTAGCCAAGGTTGGAGTGCAGTGGTATGATCTCAGCTCACTGTAACCTCTGCCTCCCAGGTCCCAGTTCAAGGAATTCTCCTGCCTCAGCCTCTTGAATAGTCAGGATTACAGGCATGCACCACCATGCCCAGCTAATTTTTGTATTTTTAGTAGAGGCAGGGTTTCACCATGTTGTCTAGGCTGGTCTTGAACTCCTGACCTCGTGATCTGCCCACCTCGGCCTTCCAAAGTCCTGGGGTTACAGGCGTGAGCTACCACACAGGGCCTTTATGTTGTCTTTCAAGGCCTTTTAGTGTTCATAGACATATGCTCTACTTAGTGTCTAACACTTCTCAGGTTACTATCTTACTTATGCTTAATAAAGCTGTTTCATCCATTCTATTTATTTTCTTGTCTTCTAGAGCAGATTTGAATACTTCCAGACAGTACCGCAACTACACAATTACATATATGTGTTGTATTTACAGTAATACCTTGTATATAGAGATAATAAATTTACCTATTATTATTAATGTATAAGATGGTTTTACTGTTTTAATCTTATCTAAGGCCGAAAAATTAGCTACCTAACTAAACTTGATCAGATTAACAACTAATTGGAAATTTTAATTTTTAAGTAATTTGGCTTGATTTTGTTATGAAATTGATAAAAAAGTACAAAGCTTATTAGCCAGAACTTTTAACTATTTATCTTCCCCTCTTTCCAGTTGGGTGGACTTTTGGCGATTACTTATAAGGCTGATACTAATTGTTATTTTTTTCCTTTCTTACAGGCTTATCCTCAGTTTGTTCTGACCTACCTAGAGGAGCTAAATGCCGAAGTAGATGTGACCCAGACAGAGTATCACATTCACCATGGTGCCTGGACCACAGCTCATCAGGAATGTGGCAGAAACTTAGCAGAAGAGGTCAGTGTAGGGAGCCAGAGGCAAGACAGAAATAGCTCTCTAAAATATATTTTGAAAAGAGAAAAAATGTTCAAATTGTTTTCGGGAAGCAAGCACAAATTCACAACTTAATGTTACTGATAGTTTAAAATAATACACATAATATAATATATATATACGCATTGATATTTACATAAACATATATCTTTATATAAACATTTTACTAAATAGGCAGTGATACTCATTTTCTTAGGATTGCCTTCTTTTGTTTTGGCTACGTTCAAAGGACTTATGTGTTGTAGGAAGACTGAAGGAACCATGGAAACTGCAGTGTTATATTTTTGGCATGTATGGTTTAGATATTTCCACTCAGTGAAAATTAGCTACATTATTCCTGTAATTAATTTATTAGGTTCTGCAAGAAAGTGCCAGCAACCCTGGTCTGAAGCAACTGCCAGAACCCTCAGACACCCATTTAATGCCAGAAGGTTCTCTTGAGGAGACAGGGCAGCTGACAGTAGCACTGGTGAGGAAACTGGAAGAGAAACATCCTAAGGCTTCTGCTCAGAGGTAGGGTACTGACAGAACTGAGCTTTATTGCTCAATGACATTCGATGTTTTCCTTCAGTTTCATGTAAGATTGATTTCTTGAAGATTATTGAAATATCTCAAAAGCCCTTTGGCTTTCAAACATAGTAGTTTTTGGGTCACATTAGATGAAGAAATGAGACATTTATGTATATTTTGTTGAAGATTGATGTACTGTATGTTGTTGTTTATAAATATACTCAGGATGGGTTGCTGTCCTGGGATTTCACTAAAATACTCTGAAATAACCTAATTAAGCAAAGGCAGTACAGACCATATATCCAATTGTTAAAAATAGCAAGGTATGTTGAAGAAAACTGTCCCATGAGCAATCCTTTTTATTTTCCATGAGAACATTATTATTTGGACTCAAGGTTAAGCGCACAATAGATGGTCTTAACCAGTGACAACAAATCAACTCCATTTCCATTCCTAGAATAAAAATAACATCATTAATATTGCTAACCAACTGAAAAATTATCCTTGGTTAAAAAATGGAAACAGTTTCTCTGATCCTCTTTATTTAATTGGAAACTAAAATTCATTATTATGTTGGGGTTGATGTTATAAATCATAAACTGACTTTATAAATTATGATTTTAATCTAAAACTGTTTGAAATTACTGTTGACTGAAGTACTCTTAAAAGAGTAATATAATTCGTATCATGTTCACTAAAGTTTAAGGGAATTCCTAAATTTAGTAAATTAAATTAATTAATTAATTAATTATAAAAATGGGATCTAGCTATATAACCTGGGCTGGTCTTGAACTCTTGACCTTAAGCAATCCTCCCACTTCTCTCTCCCAAAGTATTGGGATTGTCAGCATGAGCCGCCATACCCAGCCTTCCTAAATTTAAATACATTAACTGTAGATAGCAATGTCACTTGCATGAAAAGAGACAAGAAACTTTTACTTTAATTAAAAGCTATTTTATATTTTTAAATTACATATTTTCACTTGGGATTTTGACAGGAGGGGAACATTTTTTTCTGATAGCAAAATTGACTCTCCAATTTATTATTTGCTTAATTTGTTATTTAAGACTCAAGTCTTTTGTACTTGTTGTTTTGAAGACAGACCCCAAAGTAACAAATTTAATATCTTGCTGTATTATAAGATATGAAAACTTAGGTTCCAGGTATTCTTTTCCCTGCTAGTTATTTTTTAATCACACACAAGAATCTCAACTCTCTGCTGCTCCATCTACAACAGGACCACAGGCTGAGGAGCCATATAGCCAAGCCGCTCTCTGCTATTCTCACATCACTAGACTGTAAGAGCCTTGGGGAAAGTCCTTGTCTGATGTTTTCATCTAAAATAGGAATTCAAGAAACACTGGGGCACTTGGGAATGTGTAATATTGCTCTATGAGGCTGTTTCTGCCTTCCCTAGACTTATTTGACAGCGATTTCTACTCAGCCATTTTTTAGGGAACACTGGGGCTTGTCATTATCCTGGGCTCTACTCAAGAAAGAGGCATAGTTTACTTCTGCTGTCAGATTCCTCAAACATATATGGGGTCTGTGTGTTTGCCCCACGCTGAACTTGTCCTTCATGATAACTACCTGCTTTGCCTATTTCACCCTTCCCCTGCTTGAAAATATTTTCTCTAAGGATATAGGGCACTGGGTAGCTTAGGGATTTGGCTTTGGAATTCTCTGTTGTTGCTTCTCCCCTGAGGCAATGCAATCTGATGACCACACTTTGGAAGAAAGGGATATCGTATTAGAAAAAGTGAGGCCCAAAAAGACAGGGCAGTTAATGTCAGCTACCATACCACAAGACCTATCTGAGGTTGTCAGAAGTAAGTGAGATGCCATTATGTTCCAGGAAAGTAGTAAGCATTCAAGTGTTAGTTGTGAAAATGTTCTGAAAACAAGTAGAGATAGAAAAGAATTTTTAAGAGGGATTTATTTAGATTTATGCTTTTTTAGTCAATAGGAATTGACTAGTAAATATGTTTGGGATATAGTTTCATAAGAAATCTCCTAGAGGCCTTTTCTTAGTGGGCATTCCTCAGGGTTTCTGTGTTAGGCTCCAGCAACTCTTCCTGCCTTCTTCTTCTTCTTTTTTTTTTTTTTTTTTTCTTAAAACAGGGATTTATCTACATTCTTTCCCCTCTTCCTCCACAATTTACCACAGTAGATGTAATTTTGATTTCTTTTCCTCTTAAAACTCTCTCTCTCTCTCTCTCTCTCTTTATCAAATAATCACTGAAAAGTAGGCATAGAAGTGTGCTTCTCCCCTGGCTTCCATAAAATAAGTTGTGTGTACATTGAATTCTAAGGTTGGTCCAAAGTAAAGTAAATGCCATATTCTGGCATTAAGTGTCTGGAATGTGTTTGTTTACATTAGTTTATCCAAAGGAGTCCTTTACCCTTATTTAAATGGAATAGGGGGTGGAGAAGGACTGGGACAGCCAACAAAGCATGCTGACCCAGCTTGTCACCCAGTGACCTGTGAGAAGGAAATAATGAACTGTGAGTAGCTGTCATCTTAACTGTTTCTGACAGTTTGCCTTTGGGCACATCTGTGTTAGTTGCATTGGAAAGGCCTTTGTTCTTTTCCCACTAGTGACTTTGTGGAGTGCTGAGGGGTTTGCTAGCTACTGTACTCCTAACCAGCCCTTCCTTCCCAGGGAAGCCAGCAGCTGCCAGGGATCGCACTGACATTTCTCTTCATGACTCAACTTGGCATGGACTTCATTCTTTTAAAAGAAAACATGAATTTAAAAGCCATTTGATTTTTTTTTCAATTAAAATATACTTTAATATCTTATGAGCTTTGGAACTAATAAAAAAGCAACTTATAAAAATACATTTAGTATTATCCAAATTTTAGGTAGACAGCTAACCAAGTGGGCTCGTGATTTGAAGAAAATATTACAAAATATTGACAGTTTTTATTGCATGTTTAAATGTTTATTTTCCAAATTTTAATAATTAAATATTTGCATTAGGACAAAATCAATACAAGTTACACAAAGCATTTTAAATGTAGACACTTGATACTTTGCTATTAAGAATATTTGGACTAAAACTGATAATGTCATATCATAGTTTGTTTCACATTTTCCACTGATACTTTTAAAATAAACTTTTATCTAATAATATAAACTTTAAAATATTGCAGTATTAAAATTTTAAGTCTATCTTGTACATAAAATTATTGTAATCACTAGGAGATATGATTTGATAAGAAACGTGTTTCTGTCCTCTGGTTTTCTAAAGTATAACTACCATTTCAATGGTAACAAAGGCAGAACATTTTGAATAATGCGTATCATGCCCTAAGATAATTGTTTACATTAAAATCAAAGCTTCATTTATAAAATATAATTCCTAAGTCAGTTTTAAAGCCTTATTTACATTTTTACAATTGCTGTAAAGTCAGTCCTTCTGCTATAATTATGTCCTTTCTAGCTACAATTGGCATGAAATAAAATTGAGCGTTTGGTTCTCAATTTATTATGTTTACCATTTTAGGAGAATATAAATTCAAACTCTACTTCATTGGCCAATTTTTATAAGGTTCCTATTTCCCCTTATAAAATAAAAGAAATGAAGCTTGAAAGAAATGACATGCTTTTTTTCTTTATTCTTTTCTCTTAGTAACAGATTTGAGATGCGCTAGCTAAAGGAACTATTATAGTCTCCTGCTTTTCAAAGAAAGGCAAATTAATAGCAATGAGAACCTCCTTAAGCAGACAAATAATGATCATGTCTATATAATTATAAATTGTAAAAACCCATATATTAAAAATTGAATTATATTCTGATTTTCTTGAGTATTCAGTAGCATAAGATTACTATATTAAATCATTTATGTAGCTTTGCATACATAAATGCAAAAATGGTGGTAATTTGTAACTATCTTATTTACTTTAAACTTTCTTCTCCTTCTGTTGAGTAAATATTAACATAATTTTTGTAGAGCCAGTGAACTCACAGGCTAGTTTTGACAATAGTCATACTGTGTTTTTAAGAAAAGTGAATTGTTTAAATTGCCACAGATCCATTTCTTATTTCTAGAACTATTACCAATAAAGGTAATCGTTAATATAATAACTGCTTTTGATAGTCACTAAATCCAATTACACTTTCTAGGAATAAAATCTCACGTTTTATTACATTACTTGTCTTAGCTATTGATGATACTCAGCTTTAAGCATTTGCCTTTATCTCTTTTATATTTGGGAGTATGGCATTATATTTAAGAACATGAAATTATTGTGTGTTTCAAGGTTGTGAAGATATAATTTTGTTTTTTAATTAGAAAAGTCACATATCTTGATATTGGCTGAGACTGTTGTCTGTTTGGGTTATGGTATGTTTTAAAAATTAATTCCTGTATGTTCTCTGTGAATTAAAATAAAGTGAACAAATAATATAATTGCACCTGTTTCTTTGAAACAAAGTCAAAATCAAGCATTCTAAAAGATTAGGCTTATATCTATAAATGTGCATTAATTCCGAAATTCTCAAAGATTTTCAAGTAAGCATTTTTATGATTATTTTTTGTTTTTATTTGCTGCTCTGAGGTACCCAAACCTTCAACTATGCCACTTAGTTTCCATTTTAACAATGTACTATTTATCTTTCTGTTCTATTCAGTATTGTTTATAGAACTATTTAAGGCATGAATGTGAAGCTCCACTCTTACCTTCTTCACACTTGTCGCCCCCAAACTAGGGTATCTAGTATTATAACAGTGAAAATAGTAGGTAATGATTTCTGGATTGGGTAATGTGGATGGAAAAAGAGGAGACAGGTGGTAGAGATAATAAATTACATTTAGGTGGACTTGGATGAGACCAGAGTGCAAGCTGTCAAAATGATCTATAGGTTAGCTTCCTTACTGGCCTATCTCTTTCAACCCTTGTCCTCCTACAATTTATTCTCTAGTTAAGGGCCAGAATGATCCATTTATATTCATAAGTCAGATCATGGGAATCCTCAGTTTCAAATCTTTCAATGGCTTCTTATTTTCTCTAGAGTGAAACCAAAGTCTTCATGCTACATATCCTACTGGTCCCATTGTATCTCTGACCACCACTCTCCCCTCCCTTCCTCTGCTCTAGTCACCCTGGCTTCATGGCCTTTTCTGAGATATAATGCATGCATGCTCATACCCTGTCATTCTCTTTCCCGGCTTTATTTTTAATTCAAGGCACTTATTTCTACCTGTCATATTCATATTTGTTTACTGTCTGAATTGACCAATTAGAATGTAAGCTTCATTTCAGCAGGAACTGTTTACATCTATACTTCCAGGGCTGGAACATACCTGGCACATAGTAGGTACTCAGTACAAAGTTGTTGAATGAATGAACAAAGAAATGAAGTCGGGCTCTGTGTCTCACACCTGTAATGTCAGCACTTCGGGAGGCCAAGGCGGGTGGATCACGAGGTCAGGAGATTGAGACCATCCTGGCTAACACCGTGAAACCCCATCTCTACTAAAAATACAAAAAATTAGCGGGGCATGGTGACACACACCTGTTGTGCCAGCTACTTGGGAGGCTGAAACAGGAGAATCAT